TGTTTTGATAGGCTGGTTTGGGTCAGCTCAGTTCATGTTTTCCAGTCCGTCTTTTGTTTTTCGAGTAGCATTTTTTTCCCTTAAATGCCGTATTCATGGGAAATCTAAAGTCGGGAAGTGTGCCCTCCGCGCAGAGGAGGAATGCTTTCTCAGATGCCAGCGCCAAAAGGAGGGTGGGTGCCCGTGGGGCAAGGGGAGCGGCCGGCTCACGCGGGGCCGGCACGGAGCCGGGGACCCAGGGATGGCGTGCAGGAGAAAATCGAGGGAAATAAGCACAAAAAAAAAATCTTACCCAAGTTCGGGTCATATTCACTTATGAACCTCTTGGTGAGAAACTTCACGGTTAGCGCTGCAAAAGGCAAGAAGAGGAGGATTACGGCTCCGGCCGGTTTGTATCCGTGCCCTTGGGCTTCCTCCCCGGCGGCCGGCTTCGCTCTCGGCGTGGAATTAAAGCATCTCTAAAGCTGATTTTCCCCTTCAGTGTTGTACTATTGTTCCCTCCTCTGGGTAGAAGAAAACATTCATGCAATGGAAATACATACGTTTTGTGAGCCCGAGCCCCAGCTTCCTCAGCGTGGGTTCTGCAGGGTAAGTTATTTGGCTTAACCAAACCCGATTCCCACCAAAACGCGGCCTGAGCACGGGCCTGGGAGCTGGGAGAGATTAAATCAAGCCTCTAACTTGCTTTGATGCTGGCTCCTTTCCCATGGATTTGGGGCAAATTCCCTCTTGGCAGCATCGAGGTTATACATTTGCCAACACTCTGCACCACATTTCAGGCCGGCTGCAGGCTGCTCGGGGCCGTGAGCGCAGCTGGCCGGAAAGCAGCAACCCCGCTTCAGGAAAACTGGGATTTTTGCATTCGGTTTCACTCCTGATCAGAAGGAAACTGAGATTTCTCAAGGTAGCGCTGCAAAGCAGCCAGCTGCAGCCCAAAGCAGCAGGTTCCCGCGGGCTGGGACCGACGGGCTCCCCTCTCCCTCCTGCCAGCTCCGCCAGCTGCAAAGCCACTTCATAAAAAGCCTCAAAATCACCACGAAAATCAGCGTGCAGCGGCCAGAAGAGACGCGCAGGTGGAGCCGTGTGGCCCATGGTGGGGACGCTGGTGAGCCCCGTCCCGCTCCTTGCCCGGTGCCCCGCAGCTCCAAACGCCGCGCTCCAGAAACTGCATTTTCCCGGGCTCGAGCCCTCGCAGAGGTGTTTAAAGCTGAGCGTGTGCTCGTGTCCTTCGCTAACTGGGGCAACTCGGCCCTTTCCCAGCCTCGCTGAGTCCCGGACAGCCGCAGCACGGCTCACTGCAGCCTGGCAGGCTCCCGGCTCCCAAAGGAAAGGTCGTGCTCTGCTCCCTTATGGAATAAATGGGAATTTTCCAGCAAAAATGCAGCTTTCCACGGCTGTGCTTACTTACCCTAAGGACTGCGCTTTAGAGGCCCACTTTGTTTTCTTTGCACAAAAAAAGCTGTTCTGGGTCATTTTTAGAGGCTTTCAAAACGCATTAGTTGTGTTTTCCCCTCTATTGTTTATAGAGACAGATTCATGCTATTAAGCCCTTTAGCCTTATAGCTGCCCAAGCAACCGAGAGGGGAGGTTTTCCCGCGCTGCCTCTCGCTGCTGCGGGGCGACAGCGAGGGGTTCTGGCGTTCTTGCGGGACGACCCGCGCCGGCCCGCCGCAGCAGCAGCGGCGCAGCAGCAACAAACACCCCCCACCCCTTA